GGAAGAGGTCCCTGGAAGTCTGGAAGCTTCCACAAGGGCGTTTTTTTCCGAGGAGGCTGCCCCCTCCCTACGAGGCTGCACGGCTCTGTCCCGTCGGTACCCAGACATGTTTCCAATGAGGCCCTATCCCACCTGCGCGGAGCATGCAGAGCAGTCTGGCGGTCAGGACGCCCTGCACAGGACGCTTCTGGGAAGCAGGTCAGCTTTGCGCATCTGCGCTAAACGTTTGACTCTGCGGCTGCAGCGGTACACGAGTTTCACATCTTCTCCTGCCAACGATGTGTCAGTGTGCATGGCGTGCTTGTCGTTCTTCTCCTCCCACGCCGCTCAGGTGTACACAAACGCACACACACATGATGCACGGCCTTGTCCTGTCCCGATGGTGTCTCTATTTGACTCCATGATTTCCAGTCCCACCCGGCAGAACTCTGAGCACACAGGCTGTGCGGCCTGACCCAGTGGTGACCCCAATGTGTCGTTCCGTGGGCTCCGACCCCGCCCCCACAGGCCCTCCCGGGGCCCCCGAGGGACAGCCAAGGGCGTGCTCGTTGCCACGATTCTACGCACCCTCCTCCCTTGGCTCCCTCCCTCCCTCCTCCCTCCTCCCTCTTGTCTTCTCAGCCAGAAGCTTTCCAGGCCTGCCTGACCTGACCTGACCCTCCTCCCTGTTCACTTCTCCCTCCTCCCTCCTCCCTTTCCCCCCGCGGGCGCCCCCTGTGCGTGCGGTGGAAGTGGGAGGAGCAGGGAGGGGGGAGGAGCAGGAGGAGGAAGAGGAGGAGCAGGAGGAGGGGTGAGGAGGGGGAGGGGGAGGGGGATGAGGGGGAGGAGGGAGGAGGAGGGGCAGGAGCAGGAGCAGCAGGAGGAGGAGGAGGAGGAGGAGGAGGAGGAGGAGGAGGAGGGGCAGGAGGAGGAGGAGGAGGATGGGGGAGGGCCCTCCCCTTCCGACTCTGTCTGGGGCTCTCCTCCCACGGAGGTTGTCTGAGATCCCGGTTGGCCCGCTTCTGACGCCCGGTCCTCCGATCTCCGGCCCTCGACGGCGATCCTCGATCCTCGGCCCCTCGGTCCTGCTCGATCTTCCATGGACCCTCGACCCTCTTTCGACCGATCTCTCGATTCTCCCTCGACCCTTCTTCGACCCTCGATCCCTGGATCCGCCCTCGACCGATCCTGGAGCTTCTCCGTCGCCCCCGCCGAGGCGTGCCTCGAGAGCGGCGGGTGAGGCTCCTCTCTCTCGCTCTCTGTCTTTGTCTCCTCGAGGCGCCCGGCCGCCGCCGCCGCCGTGGGAGAGGGGGGGGGCGGCAGAGGAAGGACGATGATGATGGATGCTGCTGCTGCTGCTGCTGATGATGATGATGATGAGGATGATGAGGATGATGATGATGATGATGATGATGATGATGATGATGATGATGATGATGATGATGATGATGATGATGAATGATGATGATGATGATGATGATGATGATGATGATGATGATGGCGATGGATGATGATGATGATGATGATGATGATGATGATGATGATGATGATGATGATGATGATAATGACAATGATGATGGTGATGGTGGTGATGATGATGCTGATGATGATGGTGGTGGTGATGATGATGAAGCTTCTGATGATCATGATGATGGATGATGATGAGGATTATCATGCTCATGCTGCTGATGATGATGACAAGGCTGATGATGCTGATGATGATGCTGATGATGATGATGCTGATGATGAACATGGTGATGCTGATGCTGATGACGCTGATGCCGATGCTGATGCTCCTGATGCTGATGATGACGATGGCGATGACGATGACGGTGACGATGATGACGATGATGATGCTGATGATGATGACGATGAGGATGATAATGAGGATGCTGTTGCTGATGCTGATCATGCTGATGATGCTGATGATGATGATGCTGTTGCTGATGCTGCTGATGCTGATGATGGTGACGGTTATGCTGCTGATGCTGATTTTGGGTGATGATGATGATGCTGATACTGATGGTAAGCATGGTGCTGATGATGCTGAGGATGCTCGTGCTTGTGCTGATGCTGATGCTGATGCTGATCATGATCCTGCTGATGATGACGATGATGCTGATGATGCTGCTGATGATGATGCTGATCATGGTGATGATGATGATGATGATGATCCTCATGATGATGCTGGTGATGGTGATGGTGGTGATGCTGATGATGATGCTGATGATGATGCTGATGATGGTGATGCTGATGCTGCTGATGATGATGATGATGTTTGATGATGATGATGCTGCTGATGATGATGATGATGGTGATGCTGATAATGATAATGATGATGATGATGATGATGATGATGATGATGATGATGATGATGATGATGATGATGATGTGATGATGATGATGATGTTAGATGATGATGATGATGCTGATGCTGATGCTGATGCTGCTGCTGCTGATGATGTTGATGATGATGATGATGACTATGACTATGATGATGATGATGATGATGATGATGATGATGATGATGATGATGATGATGATGGTGATGGTGATGGTGATGGTGATGGTGATGGTGATGGTGATGGTGATGGTGATCGTGATGGTGATGGTGATGGTGATGGTGATGATGATGATGCTGATGATGATGATGCTGATGCTGATGATGATGATGATGATGATGATGATGATGATGCTGATGCTGAGATGATGATGTGATGATGATGATGATGATGATGATGGTGGTGGTGGTGGTGGTGGTGGTGGTGATGATGATGATGATGATGATGATGGTGGTGGTGGTGGTGGTGATGGTGGTGGTGGTGGTGGTGATGCTGCTGCTGCTGATGATGATGATGCTGATGCTGATGCTGATGATGATGATGATGATGATGGCGATGGATGATGATGATGATGATGATGATGATGATGATGATGATGATGGTGATGGTGATGGTGATGGTGATGATGATGATGATGCTGCTGCTGATGATGATGATGATGATAATGATTCTGATGATGATGATGATGATGATGATGATGATGATGATGATGATGATTGTTTTTTTGCGATGCTGATGTTGATGTTGATGATGGTGATGATGATGAGGAGGAGGAGGAGGAGACGTCGTCATCGTCGAGGAGGATGAGGATGAGGAGGAGGAGGAGAGGAGGGAGACGAGGAACAGGATCAGTAAGAGGAGAGGGGGACGGAGGAGTTGGGAGCAGGACCAGGGACGACTCTGATGAGAGGATGAGGATGCGGATGAGGATGAGGATGATAGTGATGATAATTCTGATGATGATGCTGCTGCTGAGGATGATGAGGAGGATGCTGCTGATGATGCTGATGATGATGAGGAGGAGGATGAGGAAAGGGGGATGAGAAGGATGAGCAGTAAGAAGAGATGGGGGATGAGAAGGGAAGGAGGCGGAGGAGGAGGAGTTAGGAGCAGGATTTGGGACGATTCTGATGATGCTGATGCTGATGCTGATGATGATGATGATGATGATGATGATGATTGTTTTTTCGATACTGATGTTGATGATGATGATGATGATGATGATGATGATGATGATGATGATGATGATGCTGATGCTGATGATGCAGATGATGATACTGAGGATGATGCTAATGATGCTGATGTTGATGATGGTGATGATGCTGATGATGATGCTGATGATGACGATGCTGCTGACGATGACGATGCTGCTGACGATGATGGTGATGCTGATGATGGTGATGCTGATGATGCTGATGATGATGATCATGATGATGTCGCTGTTGATGCTGACGTGGATGCTGTTGGTGACGATGACGATGCCGGTGCCAACCATGATGGCGATGATGATGATGCTGATGGTGATGGTGATGCTGATGCTGCTGATTATCAGGATGGTGGTGGTGGTGATGATGATGGTGGTGATGATGACGATGATGATGATGATGATGAAGAAGCTGCTGATGTTGCTGATGATGTTGCTGATGCTGATGATGATGCTGATGATGCTGCTGCTGATGCTGTTGATGATGATGATGATGATGTTGAGGAGGAGGAAAAGGGGGAGGAGGACGGAAGCTATCGAGTTGAGACCAGGGCGTGGTACATTTCTGAAGATGGTGATGATGATGATGATGATGATGATGATGATGATGATGATGATGATGCTGACGACGATGACGATGATGATGCTGCTGATGATGATGCTGATGATGACGATGATGATGCTGGTGCTGATGCTGATGCTGATACTGATGCTGCTGATGCTGATGCTGATGATGCTACTGCTGATGATGATTATGATAATGGTGATGCTGGTCATGCTGACGATTCGGATGCTGTTGATGAAGATGACGATGCCGATGACAATCGTACTGGTCATGGTGATGCTTCTGATGCTGCTGATGATGATGATGATGGTGATGCTGATGCTGCTGCTGATGAGGATGACGATGATGAGGTTACTGCTGATGGTAATGCTGACGGGGACATGATTGTTATGATGATGGTGATGATAACGTCTATGGTGGTGGTTGCGGCATATATTCTTGTTCTGATGGTGGTGAGAAGGATGATGAGGAGGATGAGAACATGTTGCTGCTGATGATGATGATGCTGGTGCTGATGCTGATACTTGATGGTGATGATGGTGATGATGGTGATGATGGTAAGGATAGTGATGGTGATGATGATACTGCTGGTGATGCGGATGTTGATTTAGAGATGCAGATTTTGACAATGCTGATTCTGATGCTGGCGATTGCGATGGCGATTGCGATAGAAAGGTGGTGGTGAAGACGATGACATGACTTCAGGGTTGTGGTGGTGCTGATGCTGATGATGCTACTGATGATGCTGATAACGCTGCTGATGCCGCTGCTGATGCGTATGATGCTGACGACGGTGAGGAGGATGATGATTCGGACGATGGTGAGGACGAGGACGAAGACGAGAACGATGACGAGGATGACGATGATGATGCTGACGCTGACGCTGATGATGATGGTGATGATGCTGATGATCATCATGACGACGCTGATGAGGACGAATGTGTTGCTGCTGCTGCTGCTGCGGCTGCGCCTGATGATGATACTGATGATGAGGTTGATGATGATGATGCTGCTGATGCCGCTGAGGATGATGATTGTGGTGATGATGACGACGGCGCCGAACGACGTCGACGATGATGATGCTGGTGAGGCTGATGATTATGATAATGATGATGATGATGATCATGAGGCTGATGATGATGATGATGAGGACATCGATGCTGGTGTTGACGATGATGATGCTGATTCTACTGATTCTTATGTTGCTGATGATAATGATGACACCTTCGACGGCGACGATGACACTGATGCTGCTGCTGATGATGATAAGGATTATGATGCTGATGCTGATGCTGCTGCTGATGATTCTGCTGATGCTGACGATGCTGCTGCTGCTGATGATGATGATGGTGATGATGCTGAGGACGCAGCTGCTGCGGATGGCGGTGATGATGCTGCTGCTGCTAATGGTGATGATGATGAGGAGGAGGAAACTTCTGATGATGATGCTGCTGCTGATGATGATGATGCTGATGATGATGCTGTTGGTGGTGACGATGATGGTGATGGTGATGATGATGATGATGAGGAGGAGGAAAATTCTGAGGCTGATGCTGATTTTGATGATCAGGTTGATGCTGCTGATGGTCATGACGTTGATGGTGATGATGGTGATTCTGATCATGCTGAGGATGTGGATGCTGCTGATGCTACTGATGCTGATGATACTGATGATGCAGATGCTGCTGCTGATGATGCTGCTGCTGATGATGATGACGGAGACGATGATGATGAGGCTGCTGCTGATGCTGATACTGATGCTGATGCTGGTGATGATGATAATTATGATGCTGATGCTGATGCTGATGATGATGATGATGATGATGATGATGATGATGATGATGATGATGATGATGCTGATGCTGATGCTGTTGATGGTGACGATGATGGTGATGGTGATGATGAGGATCATGAGGATAACGATGATCATGATGACGATTATGATGATGCTGATGAGGCTGCTGCTGATGATGATGGTGATGGTGGTGGTGGTGATGATGCTGCTGCTGCTGATGATGATGATGATGCTGATGCTGCTTGTGCTTATGCTGATGCTGATGCTGATGCTGATGCTGATGCTGCTGATGCTGATGCTGCTGCTGCTGCTGATGATGATGATGATGATGATGATGATGAGGATGATGATGATGATGATGATGATGATGATGATGATGATGATGGGAGAGGGGGAGGAGGAGGAGGAGGAGGAGGAGGAGGAGGAGGAGGAGGAGAGGAGGAGGAGGAGGAGGAGGAGGAGGAGGAGGGAGGAGGAGGAGGAGGAGGAGGAGGAGGAGGAGGATGAGGAGGAGGAGGAGGGGGAGGAGGAGGAGGAGGAGGAGGAGGAAGGAGAGGGGGATGAACAGAGTGGAAGACCACGGAGTAGGAAAAAGGAACAGAGTCAGGGACCGCGCGCTCGCAAGAGGGAGGTCTCCTCTACACCTGTTTCCGCTTCCGCTGCTGCGTCTGCTGCCGCCTTTCACTGCCCTCCATGCTCGTCGGGCTGCCCGCTGGAAGGGGGAGGCGGTAGACGGGCGACGGGGCAGGGCGATGGAGCGGAGATGGGGAGGGGGGGGGGGAGGTGGTCGGGGGGTGGGCTGGGTGGGGTGGGCTGGGTGGGGTGGGCTGGGTGGGGGACGGTAGGTGAAGGGAGGCCGAGTGAGGGGGGGAGGGCAGGGAATGATGGAGTGAGGCGGGGGGGGGGGAAGCGGGGGAGATGGCAGTGCAGGAGGCAAGAACGGGGGGGGGGGAGACAGCAGGGGACGAGGGGGGAAGGGGGGAGACGGGAACGGGGATGGGGTCCCCCGTCATATCAAACAGCTCGCTGTTCTGGGGCCATCGTGGGGCTATATTCGAGCTTCTTTGGTTGGTGCCACTTGGGGGGGGCGTCTTACGGGACATATTGTGTCTTTTGGGCTCAGTTGGGTACGCTTGTAGGCACGCAGGCATGCCGATAGATAATGGCGCGGTCGCATGCTCAGGGCTGCGATGGATCGACTCGAAATCTTGCTCGATGCGTCTTTTCGGGGGATACGGCGCCGTTTGCGGAGGGAGTCGGTGCGTGTGTGCGGGCGATGTGTTTCCAGCCCGCCTTTGGGCCACGTGTGGTAGGTTTCCCCCGGCACAGCTGTTGAAGCACACTTTCCTGGGCTTCACGCAGCTCGCAGGAGGACGGGCCAAGTCGAGGAGAACGAGGACACACGTCACGGTTGGTGATGACGATGGGTTTATCGCATATGATTATGGTGATGACAGTTCTGATGATGGTGATGATGAGGTTGAGGATGATGATGATGCTAATGATGATGATTATGACGATGATGATGATGATGATGATGATGATGATGATGATGATGATGATGTTGATGATGCTTTTGATTATGATGATGCTACTGCTGATGATGATGATGATGACGATGCAGATTCTGACGATGTATTATGTTGTTGGTGTTGACGGCGATGAGGACGATGCTGTTGGTGATGTGGATGAGGATCTCGGGTGTGACGACGACGATGACGATGATGCTGATGCTGTTGCTGATGCTGATACTGATGATGATGATGATGACGATGATGATGATGATGCTGATGCTGATGCTGACGCTGATGCTGAGGCTGCTGCTGCTGAAGATGACGATGACTATTACGACGTGTTGTTTTTGTAGTTGTTGTCGTCGATGACACTGATGATGCTGATGATGCTGCTGCTGATGATGACGAGGATGATTGATAGGCTGGTGCTTATGACCATTGTGACTCGGATTGTGCTTGCGGTGGTGAATGTTTTGGGGGTGATGACCAGTATAAAGAGGATTGTGATGCAGATGCTGGACTATAACTTTCTTAACGTGGCTGATGGCATTGATGTTTCCGAAATATGTGGCGATTGGGATGCTGAGGCTGCTGAGGCTGCTGCTGCTGCTGTTGCTGCTGATGATGATGATGATGAGTATGGCGATGCTGACTATGCTGCTGTATGAATTGGTTAATGCTGATGGCGATGCTGATGACGATGATGACGATGATGATGATGATGATGCTGATGATGTTGACGATGATGCTGATGATGCTGTTGTTGGTAGAGGTGATGCTGATGATGATGCTGATGCTGATGATGTTGACGATGACGATGGCAATTTCAATGATGATGATGCTGATGACGACGATGATGATAATGATGACGATGCTGATGATGATGATGACGATGATGCTGATGCTGGTGATGATGATGATGACGATGATGCTGATGATGATACTGATGATGCTGATGACGATGATGACGACGACGGTGCTAATGATTATGACGACGAGGATGATGGTGACGGCGATGTTGCTGCTGCTGTTGATGCTGCTGCTGCGGCTGTTGATGTCGCTGCTGCTGATGATGATGTATGATGACGGTGCTGGTGATTGTGTTGTTGGTGATGATGGTGGTGGTGGTGATTATGCCGACGATGACGATGAATGACGATGACGATGACGGCGACGATGACGATGCTGCTGATGACGATGATTGTGATGATGATGATGATGATGATGATGATGATGATGTCGATGCTGATGCTGCTGATGATGCTGCTGCTGATGATGATGATGATGATGATGATAATGCTGTTGATGTTGATGATGACGAAGCTGATGACGATGATGATGCTGATCACGATGATGCTGATGCTGGTGATGATGCTGATGATGATGGTGATGACGATGACGATGGCGCTGTCGCTGATGGTGATGAGGATGAGGAGGAGGATGAGGAGGAGGAGAAAGATGAGGATGAAGATGAGGACGAGCTGATGACGCTGATGGTGAGCATGATGATGATGATGAGGAGGAGGAGGAGGATGAAGATGAGGATGAGGACGAGGTTGGTGATGATGACGACGATGATGATGATGGTGCTTATGATGATGATAATCATGATGATGCTGATGATGATGCTGATGATGATGATGATGGTTGTGGTGATGATGATGATGATGATGATGATGATGATGATGATGATGATGATGATGATGATGATGATGATGATGATGATGATGATGATGATGATGTCGATGATGATGATGCTGCTGCTGCTGATGATGATGATGATGATGATGACTGCTGCTGCTGATGATGATGATGATACTGATGGTTATGCTGGCGATGGTGATGGTGATGGTAATGACGATGATGATCTTTCGGATGCTCATGATGATGGCGACGACGATGACGGTTGCGACGACGACTGCGACGATCATAACTTACCTATACGACCACCCTGCGGGTGATAAGGAGTTTGGGGGGAGGGGGCCAGCAATGGGCAACAGTGGTGATTGTTGTTCTGACGATGCCAGTGGATATCACTATCGATCTCACTATCGATATCACTATAGATCTCACTATCGATCTATCGATTGTTGGTCTCACTATAGGTCTCACTGTAGATCTCATTACAGATCACTATAGATCTCACTATAGATCTCACTATCTCACTCTGGATTGTTGGTCTCACTATCGATCTCACGATCGATATCACGATCGATCTTACTATAGATCTCACTATCGATCTCTCACTATCGATCTCACTATCGATCTCACTATCGGTCTCATTATCGATCTCACTATCGATCTCACTATCGATCTCACTGTCGATCTCACCACGGGACACCACGGGACAACGACGGGACACCGGCGGGACACCAGCGGGACACCAGCGGGACACCGGTTGCTGGGCGGAGAACCTTTTTGGTCCGGCCGCGGCCCGGCCACGACGGGACACCGGCGGGACACCAGCGGGACACCAGCGGGACACTGGCGGGACACCGCGCGCCACTGGTTGCCGGGCGGAGAATCTTTTGGTCCAGCCGCGGCCCAGCCACAGGAGAATTTCCTCTCCCCCGTCCACGCAGCTTCGCCTCGCCCGCACGCACGGCACGAACACGAAACCGAAATCGATTTCCTGGTAGGGGGGCTCTCCGTTCCACTTCGATCTCACCCCCCAACCTCCGATGTAGCAGTCGTAGGAGGATTAGGAGGGGGATAATCCATCAGGAGGAAGCTTACGAGGCAGATCGTACTGAGCAGGAGCAGGCAGAGGAGGAGGAGAAGGAGGGGGAGGAGGAGAAGAGGAAGGGAGAAGAGGAGGAGGATGAGGAGGAGGAGGAGGGCAGGAGGAGGAGGATGAGGAGGAGGGGCATGAAGAAGGGAGGAGGAGGCGAAGGGAGAGGAGGAGGAGGATGAGGAGGAGGAGGCGGAGGAGGAGGAGGAGGAGGATGATGAGGAGGAGGAGGAGGACGAGGGCAGGAGGCCGATGGCAGGAGGCCGAGGCAGGGGCAGCTCGTCCCGCGCGTACCTGCCGCGCCCCTCCCCCGCCGAGGCGGCCCTGGGCTGGTGAGCGGCAGCTGTTCGGGCGGGCGCGACCCCCAGACCTCCAGCGTTCAGGAGGGAAGAAAACACACAGACATAATTCATCGTCGATTCCCAAGACAATATGCGAACATATGGGAAGTGGGGGGGAAGACAGCAACCCCCAAAACATGGGAAAATATGGGCAATCTATTTATTACTTGTGTGTATTTATTTGTGTGTCCTGGGGCCCCTTCAAACGTGCTGAACCATTTCGACCCAGATCCAATCGACATCGCCCCACCGACGATCCGCTGGGTCGCAAGCGGGGCGTAGGTTGTCAATGCTTCTGGCTCTCGTTGCCTTCGGCATCTGGGAGCGTCTGTCTTGGGGCTCCGGGAGCGTCAGGACATGGGGGTGCCCTGGCACTCGCGGCGCACCTCGCCGGCGCCCTGGCTCAGGAGGGAAAGAAACACACAGACACAATCCATCGTCGACTCCCCAGAGAATATGGAAAAATATGGGAAGTGGAGGGGAAGACAAAAACCAAGTATGTGAGAATATGGGGAATCCTGTTATTTGTCTGTATTTATTCGTGTGTCCCAGGGCCCCTTCACTGGTACCTGGCGCGGAATTGGTGCAGACGCCAGCCAGGCGCGCGACGCCCGCGAGGTGCGCCGCGCGTGCCAGGGCGCCCCGCCCTGCGCTGGCCCTCACCATACTCTTGACCTTCGTCTTCTTGGGCATTCGGGCGCCGTTCCGGGCACCCATGAGCAGGGCGACGCACGCGTCCGCAAGATGCCGTCGAGAGGTTTGGGGGCCCCGCAGCAGCCGATGAGGGCAATGGAGGTCTGGGTCTCTCATAGCGCCTTGTGCCTGTCATTGTTCTCCCTCCCCTCTCTCCTCCTTTCTCCCTTCTCCTCCTCCTCCCTCTCCTCCTCTGCCCCCTCCTCGGCGCCTGCCCCCCTCGCCAGAGAACCTCCAGAGCCGACGACGACGACAGCGACTACGACCGCGACGGGGCCTCGAAAGCGACGACGACGCATGCGTCGACGACGACGACGGCCGAACCCCCCAGAACGGCCATGAAACGAAAGTGGCAAACGAAGGAGGGGGGGGGGCGGGGGAACGACCAAGGGAAACAGTAAACAGACAAGCGAGGCCGAGGCCCCGTGCCCAGAAAAGGCAGACGTGGCCCCCACTTTGTGGCTCGTCGTCGTCGTCGTCGTCGTCGCCGCCTTTTCCCTCCTCCTCCAGCTCCTTCTTAACAGCGTCAACAGTCAGACACGTTGTCTTTTGTCGTGACGGTGTCCGCGGGGCGGCACGGATCCTCCAGGAAGTGCGGGGCGGTCTCTCCCGCGGGTGCACCTGTGCCGCCGCTTCCATAACGTCTCTGGGAACCCGCGCGCTGCCCTGGAGGGCCCGCGCCCCCGAAACGCGGGGCTCTCGCGGGCTCTTGTCGTTGACTTGTCGTTGTCGTCATCGTCGCCACTGTCGTCGTCGTCCCTCTTCCCCGCCTCTTCCTCTCCCTCTTCCTCTTCCCTCTCCTCCTTCTCCTTCCTCCTGCTGCTCCTCCTGGTCGCCCTCTTTGGCTTCTCCCTCGTCCCCTCCCTCCTCTTGCTCCTCCTGCCCCTCCTCCTCCTCTTCCTCCTCCTCCTCCTCCTCCTCAGCCTACTCCCCGCAGTCTTCATCGTCCTTCTCCTACTCCATCCTTTCGCTTGGTCCCTGCCCCCCGCCCGCATTTTTTGGGGTTGGCGAGGAATGTGGAGGGAATCGGAAAATTGATGGGGGGGAGGGTGTGGTGTCAGATGTGGCGCGAGCGTACCCATGTGTGCCCTGCCCCCCCCTTTCTCCCTTCCCCCTTTTCCTCTCCGCCCCTCCTCCCCCCCCATTCCCTCCGCCCCCCCCCGTCCCTCCCAACCCATCCCCGTCCTTCCGCCTCCCCACGCCGTCCCCCGCACCCGGGCCCCCCCCCCTCCCGTTCGGGCGAAGAAAAGCATGCACCTACCTACACAGGTCTTGGCCAGGCTCATCGTGGTACCAGGGTTTCCGTGCACGGCCCCCCCCCAGGCCAGGCCACGGGCGCCTCCCTGGGCCTGGCAGGGGCCGGGGTATGCGCAAAACCGTGGCCCTTCTGTCTTTCCCTCCTCCTCCTCCTCCTCCTCCTCCTCCTCCTCCTCCTCCTCCTCCTCCTCCTCCTCCTCCTCCTCCTCCTCCTCCCCCGCCTCCTCCCGTCTCCCCCCGTCTCCTCCTCCTCCCGTCTCCCCATGGGCAGCGTGGCGGCTGCCGCCTCCCGTTGGCGCTCCCGCGCGGCCCACCGCTGCGGTCCCCGCGGGCGCCTGGCGGGGGGCCCCGCTGCCCCCGCCTCGGCCTGGCTGGACGCGTCCAGGCTCGGCGTGCATGCCTTGCTCGGCGGCGAGCGAGGGGGGGGGGGAATGACGAACGAACAACGCACACCCATATCCATAGGGGGAACGTTGAGAGGAGGACTGGCTATGGGTATGGGTGCGAGTTGTCGGATCCTGGTTGGCGCTTCCTTTCGAGCGGGGACCCCCATCCGACAACACGCACCCATAGCCCGCTCCGTCCCACCTATGGATATGGGTGCGTGTTGTTCGTTCGTCAGGGAAGTAGGATTCAGTCGGGCATGGCCTTCTGCAGGAGGAAAAATTAAACAAGAGTCGACAAAAAGTCGGGGGGCGACTTTCTCAGCAACTTTTCTGGGGGGGGCTATTGTTGGAGTGGTTTTTGAGTACTTGCCTTTTTCCTTCAAGATCCACCTGTAGGAGGACATGCCCGACCTAAAAATAGGAAGGAGAAGGCCTTCCCAGACGGTTCGGAAGTCTCCCAGCCTTCTGAGAAGTCTTCGGGGCCTTCCCCGATGACACGAACGGCTTCTCTCAGAGAGCGCAAGGGCTTCGGAAAAGTCCTCCGCCGCCCTCCGAGAAGGCCTTCTCTTTTCTTTTCTCTCGAAGAAACAACTCATAAACATCAACTTTTGGCACTCGGCGCGGATTTCTTGGCTCCGCGCTGGGAGCCCCCTGGCGGCGCCTCTGGCGCCGCTTCTGACGCGCTCCGCCCTCCAGGGAGGGGGGCACCGTGCGGATTCAAGAGATTTGCGCGGAACGCCAAAAGTTTATGTTTATGTGTTCTTCTTCTTCTCTTCCTTCACTTCCCCCCGCTCGCCGTCGACTTGCGCCACAGATGCGCCCAGGCTGTCGCCCCCCCGCCTGCTCGTGAGAGACCCCGTCGGTCGGCGTGCCTGCCCCGCAGGGAGGCGGGGCCTCGCCAGCTCGCCCCGCGGCCGATGAGGACAGGGCACCGCTACCCTCGAGGCGGGCACGTCTCTTTTCGTCAGCGGCGAGGCTGCGAAATCCGCTCCAGCGAACAGCCAGGCAGGGGCACTAAGTAGCGAATTGGCCGGCGTGCAAGGAGGGAGGGGGGAGGCCGACGAGGAAGGAGGGACGCTCAGGCGCCGAAGAGCTCGACGATGAGCAGCCGGCGGGCGGCAGCAGCCAGGCACGCCGGGCCAGAGCGCTGTGGGCGACCGTGGCGAGGCGGGCATGTCCCCCTACGGGAGGAAAATTCAAACATAGACACAACATTGTCGGGGGACGTATATACAAATATATGTATATGTATATTCACAAGATAAAGCAATTTCAGAAACGAATGTGGTTGGCTATTTTCGAGCATGTTCCGATTCTGCCCGACCTAACACTATTGCTACGCATTTTACCTAACAGCGAAGACTGATAGGTTTCTAGTTGATTCAAAAGAGCTCACAGATCACTCCACAGGGGGGTCCGGGCAGGCGTTGGGAGTTGCCGGCCGGGCCTGTGCCGGGCTCGTTTTTCACCAACAGTCACACACTTCGTGCTCGTCGACCTCTCAGAACCCCATTCCCAGGCCACATTCTGAATAACCGGATGCAACAGTCACACACTTGGTGCTCCTTGACCTCCCAGAACGCCATTCCCGGGCCACATTTTGGAAGCCCGGAGCTAACTGTAGGCCACTTCGTGCTCTTCGATTTCCCAGAACTCCATTCCCGGGCCACATTTTGGATGCCCGGAGCCAACTGTAGGCCACTTCGTGCTCTTCTATTTCCCAGAACTCCATTCCCGGGCCACATTTTGGATGCCCGGAGCCAACTGTAGGCCACTTCGTGCTCTTCGAGTTCCCAGAACTCCATTCCCGGGCCACATTTTGGATGCCCGGAGCCAACTGTAGGCCACTTCGTGTCTTCGAGTTCCCAGAACTCCATTCCCGGGCCACATTTTGGATGCCCGGAGCCAACTGTAGGCCACTTCGTGATCTTCGAGTTCCCAGAATTCCATTCCTGGGCATGATTTTGAATGCCCGGAGCCAACTGTAGGCCACTTCGTGTTCTTCGAGTTCCCAGAACTCCATTCCCGGGCCACATTTTGAATGCTGAGGCAGGCTGATGCTGAGGCTGAGGCAGGCTGAGGCTGAGGCAGGCTGAGGCTGAGGCCGAGGCTGAAGGCAGACTGAGGCTGAGGCTGAAGCAGGCTGAGGCTGAGGCTGAGGCAGGCTGAGGCTGAGGCTGAGGCAGGCTGATGCTGAGGCAGGCTGAGGCTGAGGCTGAGGCTGAGGCTGATGCAGGCTGAGGCTGAGGCAGGCTGAGGCTGAGGCTGAGGCGAGGCTGAAGGCAGACTGAGGCTGAGGCTGAAGCAGGCTGAGGCTGAGGCTGAGGCTGAGGCTGAGGCAGGCTGAGGCTGAGGCTGAGGCAGGCTGATGCTGAGGCAGGCTGAGGCTGAGGCTGAGGCTGATGCAGGCTGAGGCTGAGGCAGGCTGAGGCTGAGGCCGAGGCTGAAGGCAGACTGAGGCTGAGGCTGAAGCAGGCTGAGGCTGAGGCAGAGGCAGGCTGAGGCTGAGGCTGAGGCAGGCTGATGCTGAGGCAGGCTGAGGCTGAGGCTGAGGCTGATGCAGGCTGAGGCTGAGGCAGGCTGAGGCTGAGGCCGAGGCTGAAGGCAGACTGAGGCTGAGGCTGAAGCAGGCTGAGGCTGAGGCTGAGGCAGGCTGAGGCTGAGGCTGATGCAGGCTGATGCTGAGGCAGGCTGAGGCTGAGGCTGAGGCTGATGCAGGCTGAGGCTGAGGCAGGCTGAGGCTGAGGCTGAGGCTGAGGCTGAAGGCAGGCTGACTGAGGCTGAGGCTGAAGCAGGCTGAGGCTGAGGCTGAGGCTGAGGCTGAGGCTGAGGCTGAGGCAGGCTGATGCTGAGGCAGGCTGAGGCTGAGGCTGAGGCTGATGCAGGCTGAGGCTGAGGCAGGCTGAGGCTGAGGCCGAGGCTGAAGGCAGACTGAGGCTGAGGCTGAAGCAGGCTGAGGCTGAGGCTGAGGCTGAGCTGAGGCCTGAGGCTGAGGCTGAGGCTGATGCTGAGGCTGGCTGAGGCAGGCTGAGGCAGGCTGAGGCTGAGGCTGATGCTGAGGCAGGCTGAGGCTGAGGCTGAGGCTGAGGCTGAGGCTGAAGCAGGCTGAAGGCAGACTGAGGCTGAGGCTGAAGCAGGCTGAGGCTGAGGCTGAGGCAGGCTGAGGCTGAGGCTGAGGCAGGCTGATGCTGAGGCAGGCTGAGGCTGAGGCTGAGGCTGATGCAGGCTGAGGCTGAGGCAGGCTGAGGCTGAGGCCGAGGCTGAAGGCAGACTGAGGCTGAGGCTGAAGCAGGCTGAGGCTGAGGCTGAGGCAGGCTGAGGCTGAGGCAGGCTGAGGCTGAGGCTGAGGCAGGCTGAGGCTGAGGCTGTGACTGCGACTGCCGTTGCCACTGCGACTGTCATCGCGAATGCGACTACGACTGCGAGAACAGCAGAATTCTACAACTGGATTCTCATCCGAATCTTAAGGGGAATGCTTCCAGATATGCTCCTACACATCGATGTTAGGTTGCTTTGCCGGGATAATTTTATTTTTGCCGGCTTGGGACTCCTGGGAGGCCCTCATCGTCACCGCTTGATTCGCTTCGAGAAATTTGGTCAGAACGCGCTTTGGGAAAGGTCCGGGGAGTAAATATACGGATTTTTTGGTGTTGCCCCATGAAAGTGATCTAGGGCTGGAGTGACCTTACCATTGCCGCGCGCCCACATATATATATATATGTATGTGTGTGTATATATATATGTACCCTCCAACACCGGCCGGCGCGTTTGGGTTGGCCCCTCTTCTGCGGTTCCCCAAAGCTTCCAGACCAAAGGGTATTTTTTTGGTAGTGGCCTCCGGCCAGTGCCGCCGATCTGGGGCGCTCCTGATGCTATTGTTGTTGAAATGGACAACGACGACGACGGACGACCAACGGTCGACGAGCGGGATGAATACGACGACGACCGACGAAGGAGTTAATGACGGCGAACCGACGACGATGACGACGACGACGACGACGACGACGACGACGACGACGACGACGACGACGACGACGACGACGACGACGACGACGACGACGACGACGACGACGACGACGACTGACGGCGAACAGCTGCGGACGGCCGACGACCGACGACTGGTGACGGCGACGAGTGGAAGTTCTTCGTTTATCGCTTTCGCTTCCGAGCAATACCAAGTCAGACCGTGCACCTCTGGCCTGGCAGCACGCGAGTGAGCGCCTCTTGGGGCCTGTTGGATCTTGGGGCTTCTGGGGGGCCTTTGGGGCCTCGTGGGGGCCTTTCGGGGTCCTCTTGGGGGCCTCTTGGGGACCTCTTGGGGGCCTCTGGGGGCCCCTTGGGGGCGCCTCGGGGGCATCTTGGGGGCTCTTGGGGTCATCTTGGGGTGGAGGACTGGAAGGGTCCGTTCGGGTTCACCCTCTTGAGGCCATCTTGGGGGACTCTCGGGGTCGTCTTGGGGGGCCTCCAGGGCTATATTAGGGCCCTCTTGGACCGTCTTGGCTCTTCTTGGGGGCCGCTTGGGCTGTCTTGGGGCGATCTTGGGGGCCTCTTGGGCCGTTTCGGCGCTTCTAAGACGGAACAGGCGATACATGCTTCAAAACGTATTAGCAACTTTATTATGGTACCCTCTTGGGGCCCTCTTGGGGGTCCTCTTTGGGATCTCCTTGAGGCGTCTTGGAGGCCTCTTGGGCCGTCTTCAGGCCATCTTGGGCGTCCTGGAGCGCTCTTGGGCCGTTTCGGGCGCCTCCTGGACCGTCTTGGTGGCCTCCAGGGCCCTTTTTGGCCCGTCTTGGGGCGGTTTGGGATTCTCGGAAGGGGGGGAAAAAACGGGTGGACCCGATGACCCCCCCCCCCTCCCCCCCTACCCCGGCAGAGCCCCCCTGGCCCCCCCCCCCCAACAGAGCTGAAACTCAGGTTGTAGCTTTCTTAAACTCACACGCCAGATCGGCGGATTTGGCTTGCTCCGTCGTGGATGTCACCACTTGTTTTCAAAATATGCGTTCACTGGAGGTTCAATACATCTCCAAGTGTTCTTACATTCGTCACACGTCCGAAACTTCCATTTTGGACGCTTCGCGTAAGCCCACCAGCATCCGCATCTCAGTTGTGGAAGGTTCTCCTGCCTACATGTTTCCACACCCTGGATGCGTGTTCTGGCGTCGCGACTTTGATCCGCCGTCAGGCTGTTCCGCTGGACTTGTGTCTCCAGTCAGTCTGTGTTACCCGTCAGACTCCCTGGATCGACGTCCTCGGGACCGTTCCTACTTGTTCGTATCCGAACTGTTGGGAACGCCTCACGCGCCATTTTGGCTGCGCTCGGCTTCCTCGGTGCCTGTCGTCAGACTCCCTGGATGCGCCGTTGCATGTCTCGTTCAGGGGCTGTTCTGCAGACTCCCTGGATTGCACGCTGGCTCTGACGCCCTGGGACGCTGCTGCCTGCCGCCTGACCGCGGTCTCGCGCGCGCCCGCCGTTAGTCGCGGCCGCAGCCCGCCCGCGACCGCCCGCCGCTGGCGCTTCCGCCTGCGGCTGTTTTAAAAAAGTAAGCCCACCAGTGCTAGGGGAGCTGCTCGGAGCTTGGCGCCGACAGGGCGACTTTCTCCGTTGCACCCGCACTGCTGTGTGCTCCACTTCGGTGTGGCCGGCGCCTATGTGCGTTTGTTTTAATGCGGAGCAATTTGCTCAGTGCATGTGCACTCCACGCATCGCGTGTAATTTGCCGTGTTCCGTTGCCCCGGACATCGCTGTTGCCGCCAGACCGTAGTCGAGTGGCCGCCGACCAAAAAAGTAAGCCCACCAGCCCATCCAGAATCGATGCCCAGAGGAATTGCGTCGGTCAGGGAAGTGGGCAGCACACAGAGAAGGGTCCCCCAGCGGAGGCCTCTTGGAGCGTCTTGGGGGCTTCTTGGCGGTCCCGGGCGCCTCGTAGGGCGTCTAGGGTGCCTCGGAAGGCTTCTGGGGGCCTCTTAGGGGTCTGT